ACTTGTCATACACATTATCTGTGGCTTACTTTTGTGAGAGCCTTAAGCTATGTTGTTTCTTTGCTTTGTTCTATGAAAGAAAAGCCTGCAGCCTATGTTGAAAAATGGCTAATTAAAGTTCTGTATACCAGTGGATAAAGCCCAAACCATGTCAGTTCTTGCTAGGTTCTGCCACAAGGGGAGCAGAGAAAATTTCTTGATGGATATGTGCTGGCCAGAAAGCCATGTGGTGAGGCTTGCTGCCTTTACAGACAACAAACCCTCTGTAGGGTGGCTTTCCTCTTGGGGTCTGAGAAGAGAGGGCTGGGGTCATGGTAAGCTGTTGGGTAGCAGCAGATTGTGAGAAGGGTTGGTTTCATAGGAGCAGCTGAGCAAATACTTCCCATCCCATCAGAAGTGGGTGAGGATTTGCCATGTTCTGCTGAATTCTTGCACAGAGACAGTGTTTACAGGCTCGTCACCTAAAGAGTAATTGAGAAATAAGCTCTTTTTCAGGTGTTTCCTGCTCTTGTTTTTCATGTGTGTGTGAAGGATGGGAGCCAAGTATCCTGTCTCATTGGAGATTTTAATTGTGTCAAAGCAGACAGGACTCTAACCTGAGCAAATATTGTTTCTGTTGCATCTATTCTCTAGAAAAAAAATTACCTGACAGACCTTTTCTTCCTTTTTACCTTACATTTTCTTACGTGGTTACAGGCCGGGTGATTTATCGAGTATCTGGATAACTCTGTCTCTAGTGCTCTCCTGGGTACCAGCAGCAGTGTTTTTACTCTCAAGTACCGATGTGCCACTGAGGTCACAGTTGCATTCATCTATGAAGCAGTTATATTTATTATGATCTACTTATCCATTCACCAAAATCAGACCTGCATTTTACAAGGCACTGTTCTTGCATGCGCTGAGATCACCTTTGCCACGTATAAGAAAAGAAGTGCTTTTGGGTGCTGAGAACCTGTAACTGCAGGTGACCGTGGTGGAGTTGTGTCTCTGCTGAAACTTAAGCCATGTACATGCCAAGGAGACACAACCAACTGTAAGACCAAGGCTGGAAAGCAGATGTTGCCTATCACTCTGCTCCACTAGCCAAGGACCTTGCTTGTATTACTGCTCCTCAAAAGCTTAAGTGAATGCCAGTGGAAGAATGTGGCCTTTGTGTTGCAACATCTTTCTGGAGGGAGATTAAACCATTTTGGGACACTGAAGTAGTTTCTTGAGCAGGACTTCTGAGTGCAGAGTTGGTCTGTGTTTTGATTTCCATTTTCAGTGGGCACATATAGCAAAATGAGTTCCTTGGGATAACCTCTCTGGGGTGCTTGTAGCGTTAAGCTCTTCTACAAGTTGTTAGACATGCAGATACAGTCCTTTCATTCTACTGAATTATGAAAAGATGTACCTTTTAAATCATACATCACATTGTAGACATTTTTCAAAAGAGAGACTGTATGCTTGGTGAAGTTGTAGATTAGTAGAGCAACTAATGGATTATATCTTATGCTATGTCATGGGTTAACTTTTGATCAATGAAACAAGCATTGCCCTAGAGAAATGCAATTCTTAGGATCATGATGTGTGAAAGAGGGAAATCGGCTTTAGAAAAGTCTCATGTAGGAGATGGGCTCGGACCAGTTTGGGTCGATAGTAAGGTTGTTCTTCTACTGGCATTGGGCACAACAGTCCTTCTCTGTAAAGCAAAACTAAAACACAAGTGTAATTTAAAGAAAATGCAACCAATTCAATAAATATATATTTGTGTGCTTAATCATGTTTTGTGGGTGGTTTTTTTTGTAGTGTTTTTTTGTTTTGGTTTGGGTTTTTTTGTTGTTGTTTTGTTGTTTGTTTTTTTTTTTAATGAACCAGGATCCTAATTTTGCTGAGATTTGCTGTCAGGCAGTAAGAGATCAAAGAATGATTATACTTAAGCTTCTATGTTACTCCATTAATAAACTGATTTTATTATTGTTTTTTGCCTGCTAATAAATCCGGCTTTTGCAAGTAAGTTAATTGTTGTGTTATTCGAATTGATATTGTCAGAAGCTGTGTTGTTTTTTCATAGCACATTAAGTCAAGAACAAGAGATCAACAGAGCTTTTGCTGTAGCCTGACAGCAGTATCAGCAAATGGGCTGTTTGTTCTTCCAGTCTTTTTTGGTGCGGCAATCAGGTGGTGCAACCTGCTGTTTTGTATCACGGCATTGTCCTTGATTCCAGGCTCCTACCTATGGGTACATGTGTCCATTCTCACAGACACACAAAATAAAGCCGCTGTTTGGTTTTATGGCTAAAAAGTGAAAAAATTACTAGTGTCAGATTTCAAAGGGATTTGCCTCTGAGTTGTGATACAGGTTTACCTTCATAGATCCACCCAGCAAGTACAGTGCTTAGCCTTGGATGAGTTGGCTCAGAAATTGGATTATCAGGAATTGGAGCTTCTCTAAACACGGGCACAATGAGAGACTCCTCCGTCCTTTACATCACTGTTTTCAAACATTTGGAAGTGCAGTCATCTCTGTGGAAGACAAAACTTCTCTTTGATGGCTTGTTTGTTTGCCAGTCAGTGGTCTCAGGAGCTTCATAAACATTCAGCAGTGTAGCATTTCTGACTTCCAGCTGGTACTTTAGCCCTCTTTTGCCGGAATAAAAGCTAAACCAGTGAGACTTTTAAAATGGTGCTGACTCATAAGCCTAGATACTTTAAAGATTAAAAATAAAAAGTAAATTCAAGTACTATGCTTCTCATACAGATGCTCCTTTAATTTTGGTGGTTTAAATGACCGTAATTACACATTTTAAAATAGCTGTTTCCCTTCTCTTCTGGCTCTTGAGAAAACAGATGCAAAATAAGCAATGCAAGGGTTGGGCATGGGAGAGGTGTACATCCAGCTTCCATGCCCTCTCTGTTTTAGTTTAAATTTTATTACAAGTTAAGCTCTTGGGGCTCTGGGAAATGGTGCATCCCCTCCCTATCCTGTGTATGGTCAGGTGTAGGTGTCTGAACTGACAAAGCTAGTATGAGGTGGCAGAGATAAAGACTGCTAACATCCCTAAAATCCTTCTTTTTATTTTTACCTTAATGGCCTCAAGAAGGGCTTCTAGATTTATGGGTGCTGTTTCTTCTCTGCTTTTCTGACCTGACAAAGTCCTTAGTGTGCAACATCAGCCAAGGGGACAGGTGCCCATCAATGTGGCTGAAATGCTTCAACCAAAAGCATGTTGAAGAGCAAAAGGGTCATAGTAGACTACTGGTTTAACAGAAGGTAGCAGTTTCCAGCCCATTTTGTAAGGGACCTGAATCTGTCCGTGTGTTTGACATATGTCTTGAAAGCTCTTGTTGGGTTGATCCACTGTGGGAGTATGGAGGGATGCTTAATTTCTTGGTCCTGATAGGACTGAAGTTAATGCTAAGTTGCTAAGTCTTATTAGTAGTTTTATGAGGTCTGGTAACTTTGAGTATGAGCAGTTGTTAGGATCCTGGCAAGCTTTAAAGAAGAAAAGTTGGAGATGGTTCGCTTTCAGGTTCAGTGACAGCAAAGTGGGTGTCTTCTCTTTTGGTATGAGCAGCTTCCTTTGCCTGAGTCTCGAACAGGGTGCCTGAGTCTATTAATAAACCTTGCCATAGTGATCATGTCAGAGCCTCCAGCTTGCTTAAATAAATCCTACTTATTTGTCATCAGAAGAGTGTGTAACTGTTTTCACTTTCAAAACAGTTGATTATGTATCCATAGAGCATCCTCCTCTGGCCCCAGTAAGAGACTGAAGCCTATGTGACAATGTGTTTTGTGAGTGAAGGCTTGTTAATTGAGCATGTAAATGTGTAATTGACTGTACAATTATTCAATTGAAGATTTATAGTTTGCATACAAATATGAGAGCACACTCATGCAGTTAAGCAGATTTTCTAAGATCAGATGCTTAAATATATATGTGCATTAAGCAAACAGATGTGAACACCCTTGCAAAGACCAGTCCAGCTGTGGTCACCTCCTCTTTTCTTTTGGTATGTGGATATGATAATCTGCATACTTTCATCCAAGTCTGACACCATAGTTTCTGTGTTACCTTGGTCCTTTTCCCTATGAAACGTGTTTCATTGGTGTGGGAAATGGCAGTTACTATAGAAATTGTTCAGAGGTTGCTGTTAATTTATGTTCTGGCTTTTAGTGAAGTAGTACCTTGTGCTTCCAGTTGTTGGTGTTGTAATACCTTTAATATTTCATATGAAATAGAACCATTTTTAATTTGAAATGTTGGGGGTTTTAGGGGAAAGCCTGGGTTAGTACTGGGAGTTGTTGGCAGTTGCAGTCCAGTGCAAGTTCTGAGAAGCAAAAAAGGATGTTAAACTTGCAAGTAACAGTACACTTTGTGTTTATTTGCACTCAGTAGTTTCTGTGCTTGGAAGCTGCTGATTTGCAAAGAATGGGTGATCTGCAGTTTTGTCCTGGCAGTTCTTGTCTCTTGCAGTGAATAAAACCCCAGATGTCTGTTTGAGGTCTCCTGTGTTCATTTACTGTGAAAGAAAACACAGTAATACTGCTTTTCTTTATAACATGTCCTTCTTTATATAGAATTGAACACTGCATTGTCTTTTTGAGGTGGTTTGAGATTTGATATATAGGAAGGTAGTTTCAATAACACTCAAAAATTTCCTGAATGGTGAGAGAGCTGTTCCACATATGTGATTGACAACTTCATCCAGCCTAGGGTAATCTGTTCTTGTTCATAGGCCCACAGAATGGTTTGGGTTGGAAGGGACTTTTAAAGATTATCTAGTCCAACTCTCCTACCTGCCCCTCTAATGGCAAGGGACCTTCAACTAGACCAGTGTGCTCAAAACCGCATCCAACTTGGCCTTGAACATTTTTGGGAGGCTTTGCCTCCCAGACTCATGGCAATGTCATAAATAATGCTTTGGTCAGGGGTGTGAATGGTGTCAGGGTTGGGAATGCCATTTTAAGCTGAGTGACAACCACTCCCCTTATGCCCCATCTCTTTATTTCTCTGCAGATGTCGCTCCTATGAGGATTGCTGTGGTTCAAGATGCTGTGTAAGAGCTCTCTCTATCCAGAGACTATGGTATTTTTGGTAAGTCAGGGCATTTGGGAATTTTATGTTTGTCTTTATCTTGTCTTGTTTGTTGGACTTAAATCAGGGTATTGCCAGCCCTAGCATTTTAAAGTACAGTAGTACAAGTATGCGGTAAAGTATACATGTACATAGAAAGGCAATGATTTGGGGTTTTTTCTTATAAAATTCTCCCGATGTCGTGAGAAAACACTGGAAAAGGTTACTCGTGTCAGGTTGACCTTTCCTGCTTCTGTATCCTGTGGGTTTGTACAGGCAGTGGTCCCATTTTTATCTGAAATTGCTGAATTCTTTATGCCTGTCCTAGCTACTACAAAGCAGCGGTATTCATCCGTTTTTGTTGGGCACTCAGTTTTAAAAGAGGATTGTATGAGGAGGATTGTGCTTTTAGGCAGGGTTTAATATATTCTTGCCAGCTGAATTGAGGCTTCAATTAAAAAGGAAGAGAAGTACATTTATGTCTATGAGGATTTTACTGGAGATGACAGCAAGGGAAAAGAAGGCAGAAAGATTTGAGCTTGTGAAACCAGCAGCTCCGTAATCTGGATAAAGCTTAAACAAATCACTGTTGTATGCATAATGAAAAAATAAGGTAAATTCCTTTTGGAGTGGAATTTAAGAAAGCACCTGAATAAAACCTTCTCATTGTCTCATTGCAGTAGATAGAAAGCAAATAGTCTCCTAGAAAACCTGATTTCAGGCATTTTTATATAGAATTTGAAGTCTGATTAAAAAAATAAAAGCTTTAAAAATTGAAACAAATAAACACTGAAAACCAGAAGCCTGATATATACTATAATACAGAGATTTCCCAAAGCTGACTGTAGGATTTCAGTGTACAATCCTTAGTGATGTAACTGAAGAGCTCTCTATCTCAATCCCTCGGGTGACGTCGTAAATCTCTGTTTTTCTGTTCAGAACAAATCCTTTGCAGGAGTATTGCCAAAGGGGAATGTATTAATATTGGCTCAGGGAAACAGGACCTCCTTCTGCTCTCATTTCTAATGTAGAAACAAGAACAGAGTTTGACCCTTTACATGAAATTTCTCTTGTTGCCATGCTGTGCCACACTCTTCCTCTCAGGCATCTGGGAATTCTCCAGAGGAGATAAGCATGGTGTGTAGGCTTGCCTCTGGCCAACTTCCTTCCCTTCCAAAAAAGCACAGTTGTCATTGTCCAAGGGCCACCAAATAAGAAGACACAGCAAAAGAACCATGTGTATTTAAAAGAGCTTGCATGAGTCACTGGCATGTCTTATAACTCCTCAAGAAAACACAGTGAAAGCCACTGTCAAAAGAACAAAGTCTCATGTGCTCTTGCTGCATATTCCTACTTTCACAGCACCAGGGCAAGGGAATGATGAGGACAGTTTAGTTAGGTCAAAAAAGCAGCTAAGAGGAGGAGAACTGAAGCAAAATGATGTCCTTTTCCTTCAGAATTTAATGACCCATCTAGGAAGCACAAAGCAAAGCTTGTCATCATTGGTGCTGAATGCTTCAGTCTTCTGGCTTGAGCTTAAATGCCAGCTACCATATTTCCCACAGGAGGTGAAATTACAGTGTTGGGTGGTTTAAGAACATCTAAGAATCTTCTTTTAATGGCAACTGCAGAATAGTATTCCTCTGTCTCCCACAAACGTCCTGACCAGCCTAGATGCTGTAAACCTGAGGCCTGCATCCAAGATGCACAGTTTGAAACTGTAATGACCTGGAATTTCAGTTCAGCATCCTGGTGGCAATGGTCAGGTATGAACATGAACTTTTAAAAAGGTCAAGGGTGTTTTTGTTTCAGATTTGTATTTTACATGACAGAAAACACTGACAATAGTACAAATCACTAAATATGTCCATAATGCATCCATAAGTGCCCCATGCGTGATACCTCAAATGACAGACCTGCTCTCAAGAGACAACCTATTTAAGAAACCCTGTTAAAAGTTGTAGGCTGATGTAAAGTTTTCAGTGAACAGTCTGGGTTTGAGAGCTGCCTGAATGCAGGTGGGTTTTGACTTCCCTCTTTTTTTTTTCCCCTAGGTTCCTTTTGATGATGGGAGTTTTGTTCTGTTGCGGGGCTGGTTTCTTTATCCGAAGACGGATGTACCCTCCTCCATTAGTAGAAGAACCTACTTTTAATGTGTCTTACACCAGACAACCAGTCAACACTGCATCAGGTCAGACTGCTCATTATAAAAGTTTCACTAGTTTCTTACATTTGCCAAGGTATTTTAAAAGGGTGGGCTTTTGGGTTTTGGGAACTGTGGGATTCCGACAAGGGATTGCACTTGATTAAACCACGCAGCCACCTCCTGTGATGAGTGATGTCTTCAGCCTTTCAAACAGCATTATTCAGCTGCAGTGTACAGAAGTGGTTTTGAAACCCAAGATCAGAGGACTTTGAGTTCCTTTCTGTTTTGGTTCCTGATTCCTTTATAGCTGTGTATCCATGCATGGAAGGAGGCTAACAAGCTCCCCCTTTGCAGTGTAGACAAAATGATAAGTATCCAAAATCAACAGTACTGTGAAGAAAGAGTTTAGATACAACTGATAACATCTGGCAGAGGTGAAGGAAAGCCTAGCGTTTTCTTCCACAGTCTGGCTGTCTTGCAAGTCTTTTCTTTTTATTTACCTTCAATGCTCTGTGCTACAGTTTTTCTGTGGCAAAGTGGTCCATCTCCCGTGTTAGTCTGCTTGCTGTCTCTCCAGTCAATACTGCCTGTGAGCATCAGGAGGATCTACGTAGTGAGGGCTCCTCTGACAATACCACTTTCAAAGTTTGTAATTTCTTCCCCTCTGTTAAATAGTTCCAGTTTGGAGAATCCTGCAAAATGTGACTTACCTGTAAGCAGAAGCTGTTTGTGCCTTATTTTAAATGCAGCTCTCTCTGGTTGAAAGACCTTCTGCAGTGCTGAGATTTTATCTGAGTGCACACTCTGGTGCTTTCTTTCTCCCTGCCTCAGCAGGGCCAAACTGAGACATTTTTAACTGCTCTCCACATTGCACAAGTCAGTGCTAAAGTGTGCCAGTGAAAGTACACACACGTACACATATGCAGGCGTGCTTGGGACACTGGCACTTTTCCTCCCAGACCATCACGGAAACAAAACTGAGTATTTTGTAATGAGAAGAAGGACCTCTCGGAAAATATGGTGCCTAAAACTTCTCTATCAAAAGTCTTCTGAACTATTACATCTCTGTGCAATACTGTGGCTGCATCAAGACAACCTCCTTACAAAAGTGTCCTAAACCACCCCCCTCCCCCAGCTTGCTGTGACTATGAGTGTTGTGCAGAAATGCAGCATTTGGGCTCTCACTGCTCCAATGCCAGCTATTACACATCCATGTGCCTCGTGTAGACTTTGGAAATGTTCTTTCTTTATCCTTAAGCATGGACTCATAGTGCATTCCTCCACCCTCTCTCAGGTCTGAATGGTTAAAAAAGTGTTACAGGCGCTTTATTCACCCTCCTTGTTTAAATCCTAAGAGGTTTTTTTTAGAGCTTCCATTCTGCATCTGTTTTTCTCCTTGACTGAACAGAGAGTATTTTTCAGCTGTGGGGAAAGCCAAGCTAACTAAACTGATATTTTTAAGCCTGAAAAATAGCCTTGAGATTATGTGAACAGGGAGTGTCTTTGGCTGGATTGGTAAACACTGGATTTAAATTTAGAGCACTGTTTTACTTTTTCACGATGCTTCATGGAACACAAATCGTGGACAAATATAAAATAAGCACAAGCTCTTTGACCTGTTTATGGCACTTGCTTCCAGACTGTTGTTACTGTTACTTAAAAGCTTTGGGCTCTGAGGTAACCCCATTTTTTTATTTTTTTTTTTTTTATTTTTAGTTTTTCTACTAATCTAGGAATATTCAACAGAAAATTTCCAGGTTTGGTAGCAGTAACCAATTCACTGTTGAGGTCGATGGAGCCCTTTAAAACATGGTTCATTGCCAGTCTCCTTCCTTCTCTGCAGTGATAGAAGCAGTGTCTTTTGCCATCCCAGCAGCATCTTCTGCTGGGAGTGCTTTTTCTGTGGGCCTGATTGGGAAAATAAATTGAACACCTCACCCACAAGAAGCAGTTTGCAGATCTGGTGGTATCCCTCACTTCAGTCCTGACCTACGTAGCCCCAAACTGGCAGTTCAGGTGCTGGCAATGGTTATGTCCCTTTATGGTCACTTACCAAATGCTTGCTCAGCTGGTCCCACAAGGACGTTGATATTCAGATGTTATTTTCTTCTGCGTTTAATGAACCGAAAGATTGGTGTCCACACTTCCCTCCCCTCTCTCCCACCACAGATTCAATAATACATGTACATTTTAATGCAAACGGTTATTTTCCTAAAGAGCAAGCTGCAGAAAGCTACCTCAACCTCTCCAGTTTCCTATAAGCATGGAAATGAGCAAGCCAGAGCTGGGCAGGATTTAACTGTCCATTTAATCAAAAATGCTTAAGAAAAAGGCTACAGAAGAGGGTAATAGCCCAAATTGTGGAGAGGTAAGATTCAGCTCCTGGCTTTTGGACAGGTAAGAGCCCAGCCTGGCTCTCCTGCAGCCATGAACTTATGCTATAAATGGATGCAGAGCAGGGGCTTCTTCTCGTTACTGCAGCAAAGTAGGGAGGCTGTGGAGCAGCTCTCTTCACTCAGACAGGCAAAAGGAAAAACTATTGTGATGGTGTGTTAAAAATTACTGTGTTAAGAAGGAAATAGCTTCATTCTTGATCTGCTTTCTATCCTCTTTCTTCCTGAGTGTCCAAACACAGCTCCTTTGGCAGACACCTCAGGCTCTGGGACAGTTTGTGTCCATGTTCCCTATCTGATTTTAATATTGTAATAACATGTTTGGGGATTTGGCATGTAGCTCTTTCCTGAATGCTTGAGGTTGTAGGAATGCTTAAAGAAGCCTGTATTCCTTCTGTGGCAATACTGAGTCCAAGGTCACAGAAAGGAATGATTGAGGGGGAGATCCCTTAGAGGCTGTGTCATTTTAGGAAACACAGATTAGCATCAAAAGAAGAGAACTTGTTGGTCAGGCATGATCTTTTTTTCTCAGTCCATCTTTATTTAAGTAGACAGGGAGAAAGAGAGGAAAACTAATTTACTTCTTAAGATACAGTCTGTGAATTCAATTGCATTAGGTCATCTTCACCCCCCACTGTGATATCTGAGGAGGGTTACACACCACCTTGGTTCCTAATGGCAGCAGTCTCTGTTACTCCTCATGTGTCATAGCCAAGGAATTTTGTGTTTGATCATACATTTCCTTTCCATGTCCCTGCAGGCTCAGACGTCATTTCTTAAATTTAATCTGTGCAAAACAATCTTGTCCCATTGTGTTAGCCAGCTGTAACTGGCTTCAACTTGGCCTCTTGCTTCCAAGCTGTATCATGCCTAGAAGGGAAATTATCTATTTGAGATGCACTCTGGCTTATCAGCAGATCCAGTACACCACAAAATAATCTGTGAAGTCCTTTTGTAAGACTTGACACCTGAGTCAGGGCCACAGTAGAAACTCCTTTGTCCATCTGGGATCCTACACCTCTCCTCTCTGCAGACATAGTAGCTTTTCTGTCAGTGGAAATGAACAGGGATTGCTGTTTTCCCTTTCAGATGGGAGTTGCTTGGACTAGCGGTGCCCTTTGTTTCACTAAGTGATTTCCATTGAATGCAAAATTGAAACTTTTTGGTGATATCTGAAGAAGTGAATGTAGTCCTGCAAGGCTGGGTTTTCTCTGGAAGGGAGAAAGATAGCTCCTTGTCTTTACTCTGTTGAACACTTTGAAAAAACTTGAATTTGTCCAGATGCGCAGAGCACAGGCCCTGGGAGACCACAGCCTGATGTCACTGCTGTTGTTGATACCTTTTCTCTCCTTTTCTTTCTTTCAGGGTCACAACAGCCTGGAGTGCCGTATTACACAGATCCAGGTGGACCTGTGATGAATCCCATGGCTATGGCTTTCCACGTCCAGCCCAATTCCCCACAAGGAAACCCGGTTTATCCACCCCCACCTTCCTACTGCAACACACCACCTCCCCCATACGAGCAGGTGGTGAAATCCTCCACGTGAGGACTCTGGCTCTCTAACCTGACTGTGTGAGAAGAAGGTGCAATTGCAAAATGACCAAGATGGAGGGCATCTGCCCTTTTGAACATTTGCTAGTTCTCCAAGTCCTCTCTCCCTCCCTTCCCTGCACCTTTCCTCATTAAAGTTATTTGCAAAGGGGGTGATTTTTAATTTTTTTTTCTTTTGTTTTTAGTAGAAGTGGATTTTTTCTTTGTCTTCAAAATGAGAGAAGTTGTCTTTGTAATGCTTTTAATGGAAACCTATATTTAAAACCTGTATGTCTTTCTCTTTATTTATTGTTCATTTTAATCATGGTTTTAATTGCATTGTGGCACGTTACTGATAGCAGTTCTTTCTGCAGCCCCAGAGTGATGCACCCTCCTAAGACCCCACAGCAGAAATGCCCTCATCTAAGGGAAATGACAGAGAAAGAGGGTAGAAGTGGGTAGGGCAATGCTTTTATCAGAAATTGTGACGACCGTAGTTTTCTTTTATGATTTTTTCTTGTACAGTTTGGTTCTGATGTATAACAGAAAGATGTTGCAATAGAAGTTGCTGTGACTAGAGTACCAGCATTGGTTGAGCCATGGCAGGGGCTCTGCCAAGTGCCCTAGAAAAGAGGGAGTCGTTACTTTAAATGATGCATCCAAACAGTGAAGGACTGGGACTTGAGTGTTTCTTGTCCATCACCTGGACTCTGCCTGTGTGATTGGCATCCTTACTCACCTTGTTTTGCCAGCAGTGAGATTGTATGAAACAGATAACCTAAATGTTTGTGGTGAGAGGGAGGTGTCATAACTTCAGAGCTACTTGTGCCTCCTGACAGAACGGGTAGAAATGCTGAAATCTGTCAGTTTTCTTCCCTAAATTGGAAAATATTTACAGTAAGACCAGATGGGAGCATAGTTACAGGTTTACTCCCTTTGATGTTGATGGGAGTTTAGTCCCAGAGACATAGTAGCTTTCATTATAGTCTTACTGCTGCCACAAAACGTACCAAGTGGAGCTGTCATCTTCAGGTGACATATCTGTAAATCTGCTCTCTTCTCTAGGTTCTGGCAAATAATAACTTTTAGGGACAGGTGCTTAATAGCATTATTTGACCTGATGCACAGATGGTTTGACTTTCAGTGGCTCAGCTGTTCATGTGTTTTGTTGTGAGTGCTCATGGCCAACTCTGAGTGACCACAGGTGAACAGCTTCAAGTAAACACAGAGCCCCTTTAGCTGTCAGAGCTCTTACACCCCTCTATGTCTAGCAAAAATGTGAAGCTGCTCTGAAACATGACTATGTACTAATGGGACCTTCTCCCTTTGTGCATATTCAGAGTCGTGCAACTGAAGAGTGACCAAAAAAAAGATGCTATTGCCTTCTGCTGCTGAAGGACCTGCAAAAACAGAGTTAGGAGTCCAGTGTGGACCTTTGGGTACCCAGTAAAAGCTTACTCACTGCCAATACACAGACTGCTCCTGTGTCACACCAGCTGGGGCACAGAGATCACCAGCGTGGTTTGGAGTAATGTGAAGACCTGTGTTGCACAGGGAGCCGAAGCTTTATGGTGGCATTGTTACATAAGCAAGTGGTTTGTGAGAACTTGTTTCTAGGTGTCAAGCTGAATTTGCAGAGCATCTCTTTTATTGCGAATATGAGTGTCTTAGCAGAAAAACTTCTAAGGGCCGCTGTTCCTAAAAGCTGCTGGTGGAGTTAGTGGCCATCTGGAGCAGAGCTAGGTTTGGAGGAGTACATTCCTGCATACCTGGGTGAACCTGGAACTAAGGCTTTCCCTTACTGTACTTCCGTGTGTGCAGTCAAGGCTTGATAGACACGTAAGATAACAAAAAAGTAAATTTTCTATATGAATACTAGTTCCATCTGCACACCACAACTGTATATATTTTCTAAATTAGTGTGCATTTGAAGTGTAAAGCTGTGTATGTCACTGAGTATGGTTATGTATACAAGACGATTTTTTAAAAGCAAATCCAACCTTTTTCTGTCAATAGAAATGACAACAGACCTCATGTTAGTAGATAGATGTTGTTAAGTCCTTTTATATTATGAAATGTATCTATGACAGCTGGCATTGTCCTGGACACATTGAATAGAAGCCTTTGTACATTGAAATTCAATTTCAGGTGAAGTTTTCCTGAAGTCTGGGTAGTTTATTTCCTAGTGTTGATGGATGACACCACCTCTTACAACACATGGACTTCTCTGCTAGCAAACTTGCTTGGTGCTTGGTCTTTTCTTGAAAACACAGCACCCGTGTGGACATCCATATGAATTACTTTCAGATTGTTTACACGCCTTTCCTCTTGTTGCCTCGCCAATTCCAACAGGATTTTACTTGGCAGTAGTGATGCCCTAGGAGCTGCCAGCTGCTGCAGCTTTGCTAATGTGAACTGCCCCGTGGTGATTTGGTGCTTCGTCTGTTGCAGTTCTCTGAGTGCATCTACTGCGTCCTTTCTAACACAAAAGAGATTTGGTACCTCGCTGATGAGGCAAGGTGGTGTTTCAACTGCAAAATAAGGTTGATGCTGGTGGCTGGGAGACTTGGAGATGTGTGGGGCACTCTCCTGCCCCTTTCCAGAGGCACTGGACCCGTATGCAGCTGACCCCCTGCCTGCCTTTGAGATCGCCCCATCTACATCAGGAAAGTGATTTAATGTCTTGTGGCAATCCATTTCCTGGTTCTTTCAGAGGTGTTTGATACAGGGAGGGGGTAGGGGGGGTTAAATGCCTTGACAGGGCTTGGCCAGAATGGAGATACTTTAGTGGAACCACTGTACCTGGGTGAGGAGCCAGGAACACAAGCAGTAACCCCTTGTAGTCTTCTCCAGTTGCACATACTCAAAATGTGTCTGATGTACCTGTGAGGAGGCACTAAGCAGGTGTGTAAGGAAACCTTTGAGGTCTTTCTCTGCTGCTGTGACCCTGGCAGCAATGAGGATGAGAAGGGGGCCAGTCCTCTTCTGCTACAATGAAATCTCCAAGTATACTGTTTTAAAAGGCACTACAAGGGACTATTAGTAGATGTTGCCTCTAGCTCTGACGTAGCCTGTGTTTCATCACTTTGGGAAAAGATAATGTAATGACAAACTTCTTTTGTTTTGAGGGTGGCTTTTTTTTTTCTTTTCCTTTAGAGCCCTGTGACAGCTTACACTGCTGTGACAACAAAGAGCTGGGACTACATTTTCCAACAAGCTCTTCAGACCATGTGAAGAAGCAAAGGCAATATTCCTGTTTCTTCTCCACTTCAAACAAACAAACAAAAAACCCATCCCCAGAACCCTCAGAAGGGTTAGCTTTAAATGTATATATCCAAGAAGCCACTTTTTGGCACACAGGTCAGCAAAGAAGGTATAACACTTCATAGACTGAAGCGTTTTTTTGGTTGTTGTTTGTTTTTTTTTGTTTGTTTGTTTGTTTTTATTTCTCAGATCTAACACTGCTAATTCAGTAGGTGAGAGAAGTGGGCCAGGATGTCTTTGTAGGCCCTGTGGCTGTGGGAGCCCTCCCCCCTAATGCCCTGTCACCACCTGAGCTGCCTTCTGGGCTTTTACAGTTGTACTGTTTGGCAGGGAAATGACTACTGAAACACCATGCAGAAGAAGATCCAGCATGAGACAGTTTCTACAAAGCAACTGCCAGATAATAAGGCAATTAAAGAGGAGAGGTGCAACTGGCAGCCACTGTTCCAAGGTACCGTGTGCAAGGTAAAGGGGACAGTAGAGAAAGCAGAGGGAACAGTGACAAGCAGCCCTCCGACCCCAACCCCTGCAGATGAAGGTAGCTGCCTTTCTGCACAGATGTGTTACTTTGGCTTTATGCAGTGAGAGAAGTCACAGGGATTGTTGTATCTCTAGCTGTGTCTCACGCTATTTCTCTCCTGCTGCCTAGCCCTATCTTAATGTAATAGCTGCAGCTGGATTTATAGCAGTCCACTTGCAGATGTCAAGGAGAAGCTGTGGCTCTAAGTCAGGTCCCTACTGCTCCCTGCGTACAAATAACAGCTGCCCTGCCTGTGAATCAACATGAAATCATTGAGAATAAATGGGAGAAAAGTGAGCAATTTCACCAGGAAAGACTGCTGTATAAAACACCCTAATGGGACAGGGCTCAGGCAGCAGGCTGCTGCTCAGGTATTACCTGACAGTCTGCACCCATACCTCCTCCCACTTCTCTATCTTATGCTGTTTTGATGTTGCAGAGATTTATTGTGCTAGAAACATCCCAATGCATTTATCTAGCTACAGCTGAATTTGTACAGAACTAATGCTCTTAATTAAAAAATGCACCGAATTTCTCTCGGTGGCAGAGACAGCCATGAGTGGCACAAGGGGCTTTGAGAAACAGAAATACTGCCCGTTGCTTGCAGCATGCCTGAAGTTTCCTTCTGTTAAAACCTAGCTAGAGAAACACATCAAACTTTCTCAAAGCTAGAAAAAAAATGTTAATCAGCTGGACAGGGATTTCATACATGTGTTTTAAAAACCAGGTCATCCTGAGTTAGGCTTTAGATGCAAACTCTTCAACAGGACCTTTGTGACCAGAAAGAAAGCAACATTTTGCACTAAGCAATGATCACTAAAAACCACCTGGGAGAAGCAGCAGGAAAGGGGCCTGCAGTGCTAGTAAAATGTGAAGGTTAAAGAAAAGCAATTTGCCCACTTGCCTACTTTCTGGCATGTGTTTCATCCTGAAGGACTATGAGATAGGGAAGTGGTTCAGCTGTCAGATCAGTGGGACAACTATCACCACAGTGCTGGAGGGAAGGAAGGAGAACAAGAGGGGGGAAAAAAAAAAAACAAAATGCACAAATTACCACCACATAGCTTGATCTTTACTAATAAAGCCAAAGAACAAAACATCAGCATTTTTTCCTCTTTTTCTGCCCAAAGAGCATCTCCATTTTTAAAACTACTGCTTTTTGCAACAGATGGACTATTACACACAGATAAAGCAAACCAGGGAATATTAAGACATTTTCCACATTTTCCACATTTTTAGTTTGATGTCATTTTGGAAAACAATGCCTTGATGAAACACATTTTTTCACCTTCACACCATATATCCTTTCTTAATGGGCCACCTAGATATCACAATGCTGTGATGAACAGAAAGGAGCCATGGGGAAAGTCACGCCAGGAAGATGAGGCAGATGCACTGTCAGATGCTTCTCAACTCTATTCTTTCCAGTCTTACTCAATTCCAGGAGGATTCTGCAGAGAAGGATGGTGCCAGGACCCACTGTGGCAGAAGACTGGCTGTGGTACAG